ATTTATCATTGACTCATCAAAATGTAGTACCGTGGTATATGTAATACTACAATGTCTGTTTCTTACAGACAACCACTGTGATGTTGTATACCAACAGTTTGGCTGTATATATATATATAATCACTTACTATGTGTTTAACTGTCATTTCACAGGATACATTTAAAAAACCTACACTTTTGTCATTTGTTACCATTTTGGCCTCTTTCAGTCAACTTTACTTTTACTCCCCGAAACAATTGTATTCACACTGTAATTTTTTGAAGGATTTATTCAGAAATCCAGTCCTGAATATCGTTTTCAAAACGTTGAAGGTCGACAATCTTTCAGTCTCTGAGATATAGTGGCCTGGTGCAGTTGGTTTTGGACATTGGAGCACAATTGGAACTCCAATATCTGTGGTCTAAGAATCACTTATGATCAATGACTATATATATATACCGTATCTATAGATCAACCAATGAATGCTATACACCTGTACCTGATCAGTCGACTATACCTCCGGTTTTGTCATCAGTGTACAAAGTGACTACATTACTACATGCACATGGTAAGCCTCTAAGCTATATAATGATGTGTTATCAAATATTTGAAAAATAGTGGGTGTATGTATGATGGTGAGAGATATCAGCTGGCGAGACATGAAAGGTCATATTCAGTGGGTTTGTATATATGTGTATATAGACCTGTGTAATATTGACCCTCGTTGTTAATACTTCATATCTACACTGCTATATACAGAATGGGTTAAAGGTCTCGTTTAAAGGAGCTCGTCATCAAATTTGGTGAATTTTCATTTTATTTATTGAGATGTTCAATAAGAAAGGATTGTTAATTTGTTTCTGCATGCCCCATACGTATACATATATAAAAGAAATGACAAAAGAGTTTCTTAGTTCTTCCCTAGTACTATTAATCGTACGTATACTTTCACTTCTTTAGAGGATTTCATCAGTGGAAAATGATGTATATAATATATAGTGTCCGTTACATTTTAATTTACTACTGCATTTCTGGAAACATTTTAAATTGAGTCTGTATAATACTATAGCTGACAGATTATAGAGTAAGACAAACCCTAGGTTTCTGTCTCGCCGCGACAATGTGGTGGAAGCAAGACTGAAAGCATATAAGTGCTAGACCAACCAAACTTTGACCATAGACGCATCTTGCGTAGTACATCTCAACCCATGCATCAAATGCTGGATGTCTACATTGAATTTATTTCACTGATATGTGCATTAATGGCCAAAGTAGGGCACAGGCGTCAACACGTATCAATTAGATTTCAGACCTTGAAATATTTAATGTACCTTTAGAGTGAATTCAGTTATAAGCTAGTATAATTTAATCTTGCTTGTAACAAGCATTTTCATTGGGTTAAAAATGTATGTTATCACTTTTGATTGGCTGATACAGCAGCGTAATAATTTTGAAGAGAAATAAATCAATAAAAGTGGATTTCCACTGAGGGATTGTGTATAGTAGATTAAATTATAAGGATTGACTTGAATATATTTTTTATGTTATGGAGCTAGCTATAACACAAAACAACGGAGTGTACTCTCACTATAACCCGCTTCACGGTTTATTTAGAGTACACTCCGTTTTTGTGTGTGTTATATATAGCTCCATAACATAAAAAATATATTCAAGTTACTATATATATGCTAATATAATGACACATGTACATATCATGCCCATTGTATTTATTGGCATCATTTTTAGCTCACCTGGTCCAAAGGACCAATTCAAGGTGAGCTTATGCCATATACTGTTGCGTCCGTTGTCCGTACGTATACGTCAACAATTTCTTCAAACGACTTCTTCTTCTTAACCACTGATGGAATTTAACTTAATTTGACTGGAAGCATTCCTAGGTGGTGGGGATTCAAAATTGTACAAATGGTAGGGTTAACCCCCAGGGGGCAGAGGGGCGGGGCCAAAAGGGGACAATTTGGCTATATTGCTATAAACAACTTCTTCTGTAGAACAGTGCAAGTGATATCAATCATATTTGGTCAGAAGCATTCAAGGGAGGCGGGGATTAAAAATTGTACAAATGGTGGGGCTGACCCCCCAGGGACTGAGGGGCGGGACCAAAAGGGGAGAATTTGGCTGTATTGCTATAAACAACTTCTTTAGTAGAACTGTGCAATGGATATCAACCATATTTTACTGGAAGCATCCCTAGGTAGTGGGGATTCAAAATTGTACAAATGGTTGGGCGGAACCCCAAGGGGGCTGATCAGGGGCGGGGCAAAAAAGGGTTATTTGAATTGGCTATATTGCTTTAAGCGACTTCTTCTCTACAACTAAAAGATGGACATCAAACATATTTTACTGGAAACATCCCTAGGTTATGGGGATTCAAAATTGTACAAATGGTGGGGCTGACTCCCCAGGGGGCTGAGCGACGGGGCCAAAAGGGATCAATTTGGCTATATTGCTTTAAGCGACTTCTCCTCTGAAACTGAGAGATTGATATCAACCATATTTTACTGGAAGCATCCCTTAAGTAGTGGGGATTCAAAATTGTACAAATGGTGAGGCTGACCCACAAGGGGGCTGAGCTTAGGCTAGCTAGCTAGGCCGGGGCGAGGCCAAAAAGGGATCAATTTGGCTATATTGCTTTAAGCGACTTCTCTTCTGAAACTAAGAGATTGACATCAACTATATTTTACTGGAAGCATTCCTAAGTAGTGGGGATTCAAAATTGTACAAATAGTGGGGCTGAAGGGCGAGGCCAAAAGGTTATTTGGCTATATTGCTGTAGAACTATGCACTGTATATCAATCATATTTGGTTGGAAGCATTCATGGGAGGCAGGGATTCAAATTGTACAAGTAGTGGGGCTGACCCACTTGGCTAAAGGGTGGGGCCAAAAATAGTTTATTGCTTGGAGATGGTTGAGATCCCCACCCTATAACCATATACACAATTGCTGGGAATGAAGAGAAGAATGCAGTCAAGATATAAGAATTGATTCCAGAGTCTGCTCCACCCTTGGAGACTTAACCCCTGGGTCATAACTTTGAAACGGTTCAGATTCCCACCCCAAAACTATACAAACAATTGTTAGGCTGATAAAGAGATGAATGCAGTCATGATATTAGAATTGACCCCAGGGTCTGTCCCACCCTCACAGACTTAACCTCTGGGTCATAACTTTGAAACAGTTGAGATCCCCACCCCAAAACTGTATATACAAATGCTGGTCATAAGGAGACGAATGCAGTCATAATATTATAATTGATCCTGGGATCTGGCCAACACCCTAAGCTAGCTATAGGGACCTACATTTTGTAGTTTCTGAGTCACACCTTGGAAACAGTTGAGATCCCCACCCCATATAGCCATACATAAAATTGCTGGGCATGAACAATCTAATACAGATAGGATACAAGGATTGGCCTTGGGGCCCATTCCTTTGGATCTTATTTGGAAAATATTTTACCATGATTACTTTGATATCCAGGTAAGCGATACAGGCCCTCTGGGCCTCTTGTTTAGCAATGGTATCAGACGGTCCTATGGCCTGTACATGACTTAAAATTATAGCAATGTGATGCATGTATAGCATCCTATACATCAGGCTCAAGCTCTTTGCCGTCTTATGATCACGGAGCATTATATTGCCTTCTCCCCTTAATATTTCATTTCCCCTGAATTATTTTCAGTATATTGTGACCTGATCATTACGACCAGCTGGTAGTGCTAATCTTTAGAGTCTATTGATTTCAGGAGCAGTATATATAGTCTGCCCTGTGCAGTTACAAAGTATGGCACCTAGTTGTGATAGTAGACGTTCTTTACTGCATGTTTGAGAGTTGTCTGCAGCTGGTTTATGTAAAATTACAGAAAACATTGAAAGATCAGTACAGTAATCAATACCTGAATTATGATTAACAGGCATTTTTAAAAGAATGATTTCTTTTAACTAATTCACCCCTGAAGACACATTTGAACTCTTCTAATTCAAAGATTGGAATAGTTCATTATGAAATTTCAGGGGTGAATGAGTTAATCAAAGGTAATGAATATCATCTGACAGTGACATTATATTACTGGGTGCATAATTTGTTTTATTACGTCACTTGCAAATTTCCTGCAATCTTATTGCATTGGCTGAGAACTATGTACTTTGCTGTATTTTACATTATATTTAAATTGACCTTTGGACATGTACACCCAAAGGTTATATATAACAGTCATATCAGCATGTGTATGCATATATGTGTGAGTAGGAGTATTTTACCCAAAACAATCACTAACAGGGACTTCCAAGGGATTCCTTTTTAATGGACTTTTTAGAAGAGAGTTCTCTCCTTTAAAAATGTTATATTTTTCTCGAAGATATTTTCTTTTCATTACGGTATCCTGCTTGATTAACTTATTAAGACTGTCTTCATCTTCAGTTTGAAATAGTCTCTGCATTCTGATTTTTTCCATCCCCCAAAAATATCCATATTGCCCATTAGACTCGGATGGTGTGCAGTGCATTATTATATTATAGTTACGGTAGGTTATTGTGACCTTATCTCTAGCTCAAAGGTCAAGCAGGTGCAAAATTCCAGGTACAATCCTGTCCAGACTACAATATCTCATCCATTTAAGTATTTGAAGTGTATCTTTTCTCACCTGCATCACCCACAGACGGTGTGCAAGTGAACCTTTTGGCCCCCATGACCTTAACCTCTTGGTAAAAGATAAACAAAAAAAGTGAAAAAAACATTCATTTTACAACAATTATGAAACAAGTTATTTCGCCTTATATTTATCACTCTTATTGGCCTGGATGTTAGTGTGCAGACCTAGGGGTCTTAATTATTGTGGGAGCAGTACTGGAGTACCCAGAGAAAACCAATGTAGTCGGGTAAGTGACCCCATACCTTTTCACGTCCGATCGGGGACGAAGTTCTTTGTTAGTATATACATGTAATGTATATATGTTAAAATGCAATTGAATATTATAATATGCCCTTCTTTTAATGTTTTGCAGGTTGTGAAGGACTGACCACTTGTTTTCGGTAGAGAGACAGTAGGGGACTACAACCATGGGGCGAGTGGACACTAGTCTGGTCTTTGATTTAACCTACTACCCTGTGGTCATCCTGAGCTTCTGTGCGATAATGTACCTATACAAAAAGGTCTTGCCCTGGATATCTCCGAAGCTATCAAAAACATACACTACTCTTTCTGTAGTTGATCAGAATGAATGGAATATAAGGTGAGTAATTGAGATGTTCTCTCTGTCGTAGTTGATCAGAATGAATATAGAATATAAGTTCCAAAAATGAAATAATGTTAACCTTGACCTATATTGTCAAGGTCAAATTTATTGAAATGGTCAAACAATTTCTTCTCAAGGAACTAAGAGGCCTACGATTATGATATTTGGCCTTGTACATGCAAGTTTAACCCTAACCCTCTAAACAGAGTCAGAGGAGACTAATTTATTACATGCTCAATTAACAAACTCAGAAGAATGTAAATGTCTAGAGCCTAATATACTTTTCTGGCATCAAATACTTTCTCAAAGTGTTCACAAAAAGAAATCATTCAAGGTCACAGGGCCAAAACGTTTTCCAAACAATCTAGATGCCTTTTGGTTTTTAATATGTTTTGGTGTTAATTTAAAGGGCTATCAAGTTTGTTCAAATGAATGACCTTGATCCACTTTAAAGGACCATAGGTTTTTTGTGTATACATAAACATAACAATATTGAGGGTATTTGTACAAAGTCTTCATGATCAAAGTTTAGAGGTTATTACATGTACCTGTACTTAATACTATACATGATGCAAGAATCAGTTTATAGAAAATGACTCAAGATTTTGAGGTCAAATTTAATGTCAATATGATCAGGGATAATCCTGGAGGGACCATGGGGCCATTGACCCCTCAAAACTGAAATTGACCCCTCCATGTTCCAATTTTCGTTTAATTTTACAAAGAATGGCTCCTCATAATTTTGATATTGACTAAAAATTGCTGAAAATGGCCCACTGCTCTTAAATTCCAGGAGTTTCCCTCGGCATCTTGGTTAGCAAATTAAGTAAACTAGCTACCAAAGTACAGTATATATATACATTACATAAATTTGTATTATAAAGTATTTGCAGTCAAACAGAAGTAAGCAACTTAAAGCCTGTTCCCTTGGATTTATAGCTGTATAGATATATAGTTCAGTCTGTATTGTAACGAAGTGTTCTATATAAATAATACAGGTATATAGTTCAGTCTGTATTGTAACGAAGTGTTCTATATAAATAATATAGGTATATAGTTCAGTCTGTATTGTAACAAAGTGTTCTATATAAATAATATAGGTATATAGTTCAGTCTGTATTGTAACGAAGTGTTATATATTAATATAGGTATATATGAAAAAGAAAACCAAAGCATGCACTGTACATGTATTTTGTATTTGCATAGCATCTCCCTTACTATATATATATATAGTAGTGGGCAGTCCGTAGGAAATTGAGATTTTTCACTTTTACCGGGCCAGATTCCCACGTGCACATGTTCCACGTTTTTGATATCTCGTCCCTTCTTTCTGGTGCTTATCTCTTGTTGACTCACTTTATGTGATAGTGCATCTTGCGCAAGAATAGGTCCTCTACATATATTTGGTAGTTAAAGAGTTTTCTAGAGGGATTCTTCTCCGATTTTGGTTTTCATTTGGCGGGTCGTCTTAGTGCACTTTCGCTATAGAGCAGAGCCAGCGAGCGTTCTGATATTTAGACTATCAGCGTTCTTTGTCCGCGATGCTCTCAGTTTAATTGCTGCCTTCGGCTGTCTTTAGCCGAGGGGACTTTTGGTTTTATATAATAGCTATATTTTCAATTATAGTATATCAGTTCTATCTTCTTGTACTATGATGTATATATGTACATGTAACTGTTCTGTTTCACTGTGTCTTGATAAAGGAGCGGATCGCTCCGAAAATTTGACAACCTAAACTTGTCCACACTGTTGGAATCACTTCTTTGCCCCATATATATAGTAGTACATATACTGTAGATCTGAGAATTATTCTCTAAAGGTGAGGATCTTTTACAATATATTTTATTCAAAAAGTATATGTTCTCTGTACTTTCAGAGTGGTGTCCTCTCTCCATGCGACTGTTGTCAGCGTGATCTGTATCTACACCCTGCTGTATGACGAGGAGGTCTACAACGATCCTATATGGTAACCACTTTTACGTAGTTTGTACACGACTTCGTTAACTACAGTAAGAGGTGTCACAACACTTAACTATCATGTTATTGCAGGATTTAGAAGATTCCAGGATTTACCTACAGGACTGTGTATCGCAGTAATGTAGTAAACATTGGATATCCATCTGCAGTGTTTCTGTCATGTATTTCTTGTTCTTTTTAATATGAACCCTGAGAATTATAAAAATACACATGTATTGCACTCGAGAGACCAGTGGAATGGTTTTGCTGATGACTGATGACATTGAAAAATTATCAGTTGTATAAAGGATGAGTGTATGTGGAGCTATTACACTGTGAGCTGATCATATATATATACAATGTATGAGGCTTGTGGTGTTTAACCCTTTCACCCCTATGTAATTTTAGTAGACTCTACCATGCATTGATCTGGATGAGTCGATTAGGGTCTACAGTACTAGTGGTGAAAGGGTTAAGTCTTTAAAAACTTATTCTATTGATCAACTGATAATATTTTAACCAAATTTCCCTAGAACCAGGAAATTAAATGTTATATACATGTAAAGGAATTTGAAGGGTGTTATCCACCGTATTGCTGAGAGGCAGAGGCTAAAAAATTGCAATGTTTGTAAAAAAAGACATTTGTATTTTATACTGTTTATTAATGAGGAATGTTGTGTGTATTTATCAAGGTTTTGCTGTTTAAGCTGTAACATAGATGAAATCAAATGTTCTGTAACTGAAACACAGTATACATTTTATTTTCTAAAGGTGTGACCGTCCACTGATAAGAATAAATTGTGCCATTCTAACAGGATATGTTATGGCAGGTAAGTTAGATAGAACATACAATGTATAATGGAGGTAAAGAGGACTTGTCCGAGCATGTTTGTATGTATATTATAATCATGTGTGTGTGATTGAAATCTATCTAACAGTCTCATCAGGATCACATACCGGGCGTACAAGTTCTTTTATCACATTTGAGTGGTTATATAAGTGGTTAAGGCGTCTGACATTCTGCTACCACTAGCTCTCCACCACTGGGTCGCGGGTTCGAGACCTACGTGGGGCAGTCACCAGGTACTGGCCGTAGGTTGGTGGTTTTTCTCCAGGAACTCCGGCTTTCCTCCAACACTAAAACCTGGCACGTCCTTAAATGACCATAGCTGTTAATAGGACGTAAAACACAAACAAACCAAACCTAGCACGTCCTTAAATGACCATAGCTGTTAATAGGACGTAAAACACAAACAAACCAAAACATTTGATCTGACAGATGGAGCCCATTGTCTTTTAGACTGTCTTTCTTTTTTCGGTGTGAGAGCTTTAATTATTGGTTCAATTCTTGTACACAAAGACAACGGGCTGTAAACGGTAGTTATTTTTTTTACTAAGAAGAGTCATAATTAGCTATCTTCAAGTTAAATAGGAAAACAATTGGCCTTTTTAGCAGATGCATACATTAAGATGATTGATGTCTTCCACAGAAATAGGAAAGAGTGATAAGTAATCAAGGCCAGACACATTTTATACATTCATCATTCACAGCAATAATTAAATGTTTCTTCTCATTCTTGGGCATATATATGACAGAACTGTCCGGGGCAAGACATTTCTATCTTGTCCCAGATTTCAATATGCGTGACATCACAATGGGAGAACTTGATTTGATGTCCCAGAAGCAGGACTATTCTAATGCTGCAATGTGAAATTGTGACAACTTTATATGTTGTTTTTGAGCTAATTCTGGTTAAAAGAATAAAAAAAATCCTCTATCATGCCCAGGGGTTTAGGGCAGAGAAATACTAACCCTTAGAATTTTCAAACTGGTGTAAATTAGAGCCTCAACAAGCCTCTGGTTTTACCCAATTTGAGAACCCTTTGGATGAAATTTCAATACCCTATACACATGTGTACACCAGGGCCCGTATTCATGAAACCGTTCTCATGCTCAAGCATGGATTCTGTGCTCAAACCTACTTTCTTGTAACTCGCTTAAATCTTGTCAAACGATCAAAAAGTCAAATGTAAACATTGAAAACAGTTTTCAGCTTTAAGTCTCTTCAATGTTTCGGCCCCAATCATTGAAAAAAAAACATTTTTTATGAATTTATAATGGGAACAAGAAATTCGGCTTGAGCACAAATTCCATACTTGAGCATGAGAGCGGTTTCATGAATACGGGCCTTGGGCACGAAAGGGTCTTACAATCAAATCGTACGAGGTATATTACACCTGATTTCCTTCCACAGACACCATGGCAATGATGATGGACTCTCAGCAGAATGTAGAAGCCCTCATGTACTACCTTCATCACGGTTCAGCCGCTTATGCTTACTACTTTGTTTTTGTAAGTATAAACTTAACATTTATCCTGAAGAGACCTCATTCAGTTTATCTATTATTCAAAGTCATGAGTTTTAAGAAAATGTTAATATCATTATAATTGTTCATGAACAACATTTATACTGAAAAGACCTCATTAAGTTTATCTATTAATCATAGTCATGATATCATGAGTTTAACTCATTCACCCCCAAAATTTTGTAATGAACTATTCCAACCTTTGAATTGGAAGAGTTCAAATGTGTTTTCAGGGGTAAATGATTGTTAATAAAGAAAAATGGTTATTTCATTATACCTAATTGTAAACGCCTGTACTTTCAACACTATTGATCTGTATTCTGTAATGTAAAACTGTTTCATCATTTAACTTTCTGTTAGAAAACAGATTTAATAGGAAATCTGATAATTAAGTTGAAAATTCTACAAAACTGGTATGCCTGTATATTTGATACATGTGATATATGGTTAGATAATTGACAATATTTATGTGTGATAATTTATTATTATTTTATTTTTTACAGAGTTATGGTGTTCTTTCCTATTTTGCCAACTTCAGAATTATGGCAGAATTTTCTACAGTTTTTGTAAATTTCAGGTAAAGTAACAACTTAGCTAGAATTTTGACTGGTAGCATCAATCTGTTCATTATCATTAGTTATTTTCTGAGCAAAATAAAAAGTGTTTTAAAACAGACAGAAAAAACAAATAATCCTTGTTCGCCATGCACTTGAATTAACCCTTTCACCACCGTAGACCATAATGGACCCCTCCATATCAATGCATGGTAGAGTCTACTAAAGTTACATAGGGATGAAAGGGTTAAAAAGCATCTGAGATAGGGTAGAGCTATGGATAAATTATTAGGGCCCCGTATCAGAGATACGGGTACCCTATAGTAAACACTCTGTCTGTCTGTCTGTCCGTCCACAAATTTTGTTCCTGGCTGATAACTTTAGTATTTATGGACTGATGTACATGAAACTTGGTCAAGATGATCAGTTCACAAAAATACACATTGAGGTAAAAAGTCAAGGTCAATGTAATTAGGTTCAAAGGTCAAGGTCAAATTTTGCATCTTTTCACTGATGAACATTTTGTTATGACATGATGAAGCAAAGTTGATCAGATTTAAACAAGGAGTCAACCTGACCAAATGTCAAGGTCATTGGGTCAAAGGTCAAGGTCAAATTTTGCATCTTTTCACTGGTGAACATTTTGGTATGATACTTTGAAGCAAAGTTGATCAGAATTGAAAAAGGAGTCAACCTGACCAAATGCCAAGGTAATTGGGTCAAAGGTCAAGGTAAAATTTTGTATCTTTTCACTGGTGAACATTTTGGTATGACACTTTGAAGCAATGTTGCTTAGAATTAAACAAGGAGTCAATTGACCAAAGGTCAAGGTCACTGGGTCAAAGGTCACGGTCAAATTTTGTATCTTTCCCTGATGAACATTTTGTTATGACTTCATGAAGCAAAGTTGGTCAGAATTTAACAAAGAGTCAACTGACTTAAGGTCAAGGTCACTTGGTCAAAAGTCAAGGTAAAATTTAGTATTTTTTTGCTGTTGAATATTTTGTTATGACATTATGAGGCAAAGTTGGTTCGAATTTAAAAAGGAGTCAACTGACTTAAGGTCAAGGTTACATGGTCAATGTCAAGGTCAATTATTGTATCTTTTTACTGATGAACTTCTTTTTATGTTATTATGTAGCAACCTTGTTCAGAACTTAACACAGAGTCAACTGACCTTAGGTCCAGGTTACGGGGTCCAAAGGGTCAAGATCAAGTTTTGTATTTTTCACTGATGAACATTTGGTTATGATATTATGAAGCAAAAATGGTCGGAATTAAAGAATAAGTCAACTGACCAAAGATCAGGGTCACTGGGTTAATGGTCAAGGTCATTTGGGTCCAAAGGTGAAAGACAAAGTGGATCTGTGACTTTGACCCTGGCTCTTGATGGAGGAGGTATATAAGGTGAAATAAAACAAATCAAAGCTAACAAATGAGTATTGCACTGGTATTTACATTTCTGTTAGCCTAGCAAATATGGGGGTGGAAGGAAACAAGACTCACATCATAGTACATGTAAAATGTATATTTTGCTTCCTTGCGATTCTTTTTGAAGTCCAAATGTCAGATGTCAAGCTCAGCTATATGGGCAGATTGCTTCTTGATGATTATGGGGGATATATTACCACAAGACGGGGCCCTTACTGACCTGTCAGTGTTCTAGTTGAATAGAGTAAACCTGTGTTTACACATGGACAGCGATCATTACATGCACATGTTTCTGTCTGTACCCCTGTGTTCAACCTTAACGATTAACCCATAGACAATGACCTTGAAAAACACTGTAGATATATGGGAAGCTTTTACTTCATAGACCAAGTTATAGTATAAAGTTATTTCCTATGATGTATATAATTCAATGATAATTGTAGTGGTGAGAGAATTTAAAGTCCTTTGTGAAATTACTTAATTGCTTTCCTTTCTTATATTTATCACCCAATATTTTCTTGATTTCATGTTATTGAGTATTAAATATGTACCTAAGTAAAACAAATCTTGGTCAAGGTTTGGTCCTTGAAATGTTCAGTAGGTCTAAGATCTAGATCAGTCTATGGTGTGTAATTCCTATATTGTTCCTGAATTGTCAGACTGATGGACTGTGGATGGATGAAAGTGTTTCCGATTCTTTGTTCGTAATATATGTGAACAGCAGCTCTCAGTTGTTCCAAGTCTAGTAAATATGATGACCTTATATTAACCCTTTCACCCCTGAAATTTGATGATTGACTATTCTAACCTTTGAATTGGAAGAGTTCAAATGTGTCTTCAGGGGTGAATGAGTTAATGATATTTTATCACAAATGTTCGACATAATTCAAAAATACCAACCAGTTCAAGAAATATTGAAATTCAAATCTTATACTGCATGATATGCTTTTTTAGGGATTCAGAGTATGAATCCCTAAAAAAGCATATCATGCAGTATAAGATTTGAAATTTTTCTTTTGGCTCAGTGGTAGAGCGTCCGACTAGGAATCTAGGGATCGCAGTTTCGATCCCCGGGTTAAAGCACACTACTCTCTTTCCTGTAACAATATAAAATATATTGATCGGATTCCCTGAATACCTGCAAAAATAGATGTATGGCCTAGAAACATTTAGGCCAATGCTCCTTCAGAAATGTTTTCTAGCTTCTAATATAAGAACCCTTATTCTTACTGTATATCAAGTGAAAATACTCAAGTGTGAAAATGTTCGTGTTGCAACTCTTTAAATTGATATTGCAGGGTGGAAATTAACATGTTAGCGATGGTTCAGAAATTTAATATATATTTTCTATATATCTATAATCTAAGTAATCTGTATAATTATATAGTTATATACATACCGATATTTGGGTACTAGTATACGAAAATTAATTCAACACGAAAAACGCCATAATATTCACATTGCAATAATTTCTACTTTAACAGTCATTGATCAGATTATATCACTTAGTTTTTTGTCTTATGAACATTTCAGGCCACAAAACTTGTTTTTGTATTTTTAATAACACGATTGTTTGCTTTTAAATATCTAACCATAAATTAATGAGACTTTCGTTTTGTTTCAGATGGATGTTGGATAAAGTTAACTACGACAAAACCAGTACACTATTTATTGCGAACGGCTGTGTGATGACCTTCACCTTTATTTCGGCCCGAGTGTTTTCTATGCCGAGGTATTGGTACACTATCTATAGATATATTGGGTCGGAAGACTTCAAACTTCTAGGAATAATCGCCGACGTGATGATAGGATCATGTCTAGTTCTCGACATCCTAAACCTCAAGTGGAGCATACGCATGCTAAAAGGCGCTCACAAAATCGTGTTAGCTAAACTTGACAAAAACAAGAACGAAGTCAGCGATAAACAGAAAAGCGGGAAAGAGTTATAAAGATAACAGTGTTGGTCCGTATTTATGTATTTTACATATTCATGGTGTTTTTTTCACTTGATATTTGTTTGTTAATGTATACGTAGGTATTTAATATAATGTGACAAGGTTTCCTGTCGTCAGCAAAGGTGTTTGTCACTTATTTATCATCATTAAATCGATTCTAATTCACTTTTATGTTATTGTGTACAGGTTTCTCTTAGTTGTGCTTTGTATACAGCTGATGTGTGACAATCTTGTTTTAAACCTAGATATGTGGTAAAACCACTAGTAATCATTTTGTATGAGTCGTTGTATGTAGCACAGATTCATAAGAAAACTTTATTTTTTTTACATTTAAATGATGAAATTCCTCAAAACTTGTTTTATATTACCACTTTAATAGTACTGAAGTTATTTCTTATAAATTTCTTCGATCACTTTCATTGTTGTGATGTCATTTTGAATGAAGTTTTGGCGATTTTTTATTTTCACAAAATTCAATTAGTTTATTAAACTGTTCAGCATTATATGTGATAACAGCTGTATGGATATTTAATTGACAAGTGATTTTTTATTACAGCACTCGGGGTTTTTTTTTGTATGACATACTAACCGTATATTTTACAGGAAATAAACGATACTTTTTAAACTCTACGATTCATGGCACAAAGTTTTAGCTTCCCTTTGGTTTAAGCAGAAGAATTTTACAAAATTACTTTGGTAACATGCTATCTGTAATTGTAATCCCTATATGTTTTTGGAGATTAAATATTATTATTTTATTAACTTACCTACTAAACCTGGACAGTGGTTCAGAGAAATACCAACACTTCTGGTAGCAGTGTTATTTTACTGTGAGCAAAATCCACTAATCGAACTGAAAAGTTAACATAATCAAACAACACAGTAATCCAAGATACAACGCCTTCTGCATGATACGTGTGAAGTTATTGAACTTGAATGCACAGCGTCATCCAGTACATGATATCTCATTATTCATATACGTCTGTTTATTATGAGATAACAAGACGGCAACAATGTAACTTGACACATGATAGGTTTATTTCAAATTATTTAATGTAAAAACAACTTTATTAGAATTTGATGTTTTTTGCTTCATATGGCCTTGAACATAAGGAACAATTTTTTATGATTTTTTATTCATCCAGTAATTACAAATTACAAGAAATATTTCAAAGATACAAAAGAAACACAGATAATTTATGGTATTGTGTGTGAGTGACACCTTTGAGGTGGGGACATCAATGTCTTACTTTTCGACGCAATAAACTAGACCAATTTGGTGTGAAATAATTAACTGGTGAAAGTACCAGTCCATGTCCTACATTTCGAGATAGAAAAAAATCATTCTGAAGTTGTGAGATATAGAGGTTCCCCGACGAGTGATGGTTGGTTATCATGTTTATCTAACTCAAGTTAGTTAATCTTCAAATTGTGTAAAGGTTTACCGAGTGTCTTTTACAATTTGAAAATTAACTAAAGAAAGTTAGATAAACATGATAACTAATCATCACAAGTTTGGGGACCTGTTTCTCCCATAACGTTTTATTTTATCTGAAAAACCACATTTTTCCCTTGGGGGAAACAATTGCCATTGAGCAAAACGTCGCAATGGAAAATGACGTTGAAAAGCATGGAAAGTAGATGTTTCCAGTTTAAGATCACAAATTGCTTAAATTGAATATTGTTAAGTGTTTTGATTATGTTGAAGTATGGTTGGTGTATTTCGCACATAACAGGAGTCAAGGGTGTTATGAATGTCCGTTTGACATATAATTTATTTGGTTCTTTAACCCTTTTAACACCGTGGACCATAATGGACTCATCCATATCAATGCATGGTAGAGTCTACTTAAGTTACATAGGGGTGAAAGGGTTAATAACCTTGATACTACTTGCACAATTTAAAATTCATCATTCATGTAGTTTTCATCATAACATGAAAGTGAGCCTTGCATTTCATTGTTACAATATTCTTTTACAGTGATTTCCCCCATTTTAATTAAGTATATATTCCCAGCAATTCTTTCAGAACAGAATTTACTAACCGTGTTTTATTGCCAATAACCAACTATCACTCGACACCTAAATGTTATTTCAGATCATTTGTGAGATGATTTTTAAGTTTTTGATGGAAGAAAAAATGAAGTCAGGGCTCTATCCTTGCAAAAGAAACTAAACCCATAAATTAAACATGATGATGTAAATACAGAAACGGAAATCTTCTGATGTTATTTACTTTTAATGGTACAGCCAGTAATTTACTGGTAGTAATGATAGCTGAGCGCTGTCACTGCAGGTCACAATAAGGTGTTCACATATCAGATACATATCATTGTCTCATTGTAACCTGGTACAGTTTTTAGCTTTAAGTTTTCTATTTTGGTGTTTGAATATACCTGGAAATCCACAACAATTTTTTTTTTTTTTTTAATGAAAGTATGTGTAATGTACACAATTTTTTGAACAGTATGCTTCTTAATTTATCTCAATGAATGGGTTTGTTTGCTAAAGCTATCCGATATAATAGTCATCTGGGGAGGGGGGAGGGGGGGGGGGGATGACCTATCNTGTATGTATATTGGCATTTTCCTATGTGTTTATCAGGGCATCATGCAATAGGTATCATTCTGTATGGGCATGGTTCATAAACTCAAATAGATATTATCCTTTGTATTCATATGAATGTTATCCTATAAATATATATATATTTATAGATGGGCATTATGATATTGATGACATTACATTGAAAATAATTTCAAATGTCACATTGTAGTAATGAGATTCCCTTACATTGCTTTCATTTTCACTGAACACTTTCTTTATAAATTCCTTTTAAACATCATATGAGAGGGAAAATTAACAAGTATGCATAGGTGTTCAAGGTATATTTTCCCATTGGAGTTAACTCCCCTTGGTAGAATTTCCATACCCCCACACCTGTATATACATTGTAATACAGCTAAAGTTAAGTTTGCAGGTGAACAATGTATGCTATCCCACTGGAGTTAACTCCCCTTGGAAGAATTTCCATACCCCCACACCTGTATATACATTGTAATACAGCTGAAGTTAAGTTTGTAGGTGAACAATGTATGCTATCCCACTGGAGTTAACTCCCCTTGGTAGAATTCTCATATCCCCACACCTGTATATGAGAGACTTCATTAGTATTTTTAAGTTGAACATGTAACTACATGTACATGTACACCAACTATATGAATATAATGCAGTCAAATTTACTGGTTTAATGACCCCCTGTCCCATAAATCAAAACACAAAGAAACTACACAAAGAGAATGTTCCTTGTTAACTCTAATACTTTTGTATTATGGAACTGTTTTCCCCTATTTTATTGGAAGTTTTAAATTAGAACAGGATCAAGTAATCATGTTTACAACAGTGTCCGTAAGTGGTGAATTTATTTCTGTTTAAACTAGCTGGTGGTAATGTTCTGCTTATCAAAGAGAAATGGTGAAACAAGTTTGTGATTTCCTGCTGAAGTTTTCTGTTTTCTTAAACATACATCATATAAAGTCATAAATCAGGATCAGAGAGGAAAATAGATCTATATATACCTCCCATATCCCTATCTTTTCCTATTTTTGGTGCCTATTCATCACATGTTTACACTTACCTGCAAGGCTCAAAAGGAAATCCTATTGGTCCCTATATATAGCTACCTATGATATCAATGAGACTCTACTCCTCAAGTCCTCATACCACTACTTACACTTGCTGTTAATTGGTCAATAAGATTAGCCAATTTTGCTTTGATACACAAGTCCATAGTTATAAGGTTCAACTTAGGTAATGCTCGTAAATGTATTTGTTGTATGTTTTAGACGATACACATATTTTAAAGCGGGCATTTTCCTTTTTGTTTAACAGAAATGATGGTGTTCTATTGTTGTTTTATTTTTTATATTTTACAGGATTTGTATTTTGTAAATGAAGCATTTTAAGATTGTGTATGTGTGTCCTTAGAAGTCGTTAGTCATAAAAAAAAAACCGGAAGAATTTCATGATAGGATGCATGATTGAAATTTCCCAATGCGATATTATAGCTGTATAGTTTTTCATTTTAGTTCATACAAAGCACTGCCATATGAAAAAAAAATCACTTTTCTGATATTTTGAAACTGATAATACTATTGATATAGACTGAACTTATTAATTCATAATTTCGTATGTCTACAAAATTTGAATGATGTTTTGGATTATGTCCAAATTTCTGATGTCATTTCTACCATATTGACGACCATTTAGAATGTACGTACATGTACTTGTTAATGGCTAGTGTCATGATTAATTAGATCATGTCATCAAATAGGCTTTTAAGGACTATGCAATAATTAGATATTAGTTTTGTGTGTAGATAGATTTTGTCCCTATTTGAAACTGAAACATCGCATGATTCCAAAATTTGTTCACTGATAGAAAATAGTGTAAACATCCCATCTTTATACTGTACATGTGTACCCATCCTTAATGTGTAAATAGCTGGCATTTATAGATTTACTGGTCCATAAAAAGTTACTGTCTTGGGGTACATCGAAATATCTATAGGAACAGTTCTTCTAGTAGATTTGTAATTCCATATACTTTGATTAGAGTGAAGGTATGCAGTAAAATAAAGCTCGTATTTATTTGAACCCACTAGAGCAGATGAGTAGACAGGCTTGTTCACCACCGAAGAGTCTTTACCACACAAGCGGGTCAACCGTGTCATCTCTTGATTTAATATTATATAAGAGTTGGTCTCTATACATCCTCATAACTTTAAGGTCATTTGTTTCTTTGGATAAAAATATGAACTTTATTTATTTTACAACAATTATGAAACTAGTTATTTCAACTTATATTAATCACTCTTGTTGGCCTGAATGTTAGCGTGTGTGGGGTCTTAATGGTGAAGGGAACCGGAGTAACCAGAGAAAACCCACGTGGTCGGGCAGGTGACCCCCAACCTTTTCACGTCCGATCAGGGAATCGAACCCCGGCCGCCTTGGTGAAAGGCAAGTGTGCTTTCCACTATTCTTTCGATACAGTTGTCAATGGCCATAAACAACCGATTTCTTATACAGAATGTTGTTCAGGCAAGTCAGACTCTAAATTTGGCATAAAACATGACAATTGGAATACCAGTACCAGAATAAGCTACTTGCATGTAATTTAACATGTTGCCACTATTTTAATTAATTCTAGTCGTTTGTGCCCACAACAGATTTGAAGAGCTAGATAACTTGGTGGGGTTACAACTGTCCTGTCACTTAACATTGTATAGAATATACTGTAGAATCATTTCTTTTCGTAGGGTTAAAATTTCATCGTTTTCATATACTAGCCTGTTTCAAGGACATTATATTTCGATGATTTCTGATTTTCCCCTATTTATATCATACC